CCCTCCCCCACGCCCACCCCACCCTCACGCCCACCCCCACCCTCACGCCCACCCCCACCTAAGGCCTACCCAACCCCCTCCCTCTCAGCTCCTCCGGGAAATCCATTTACGGTAACTCTCCTGCTATGTCTCCCTCTCTCACCTCCCCAGGTGTGTCTCCCTCTCTCACTCCCCCCCCCCCATCCTCCCTCAAGATGTTTGAATTCTATGTTTACTCACTGTGTACTCTAAAGAGCCTCCCCCCCCCCCGCCCCCCCCCCTCCATCCCCCGAACTCATTCCATGATCCGTGTTCACTATAACAGCTGATCTTGCACTCTTGGTTAACTCAGTCTCCCTAGAGACATTGATGAAGGAACTTCAGGCGTCAGTTTGTACTCTATATTTGGCTTCCATCTGATGCTCCTCTTCGGGTACTCTAAGATTTACTCCTTCGTGCTCTTGTACTTCAGACTCTACTTCCTTATCGCTTGGTACTCCAGGACTTGTTTACTCACCTTCTTGTACTCTTAAGACCTCATTATTCCTCTCCCAGTACTCTAGGACCTCTTCCCCACCCCCTTCTCCTTGTATTCCAAGACCTCTTCTCTCCTTTACTTGTACTCCAATACCTGCTTTCTTTTCAACTTCTTCCAACTCTTCTTCAGAATGGTGGCGTTCACTAGTTTATGTAAATTAATATAATGTGAGCAGCACGACTCCAGTCCGCTCGATACTCGCCGGGACAGAACTGGGGTCTGTCCCGGCGAGTACATACACACATATCTGTGTACAAATACACAGAGTCAGTGTTTGAGTGTTTGAACAGATATGTATACGCTTCTTTCTCTGTCACTTTACGGGCTATTCATGCCCGTGCCACCTTTTGGGTGGTTCCAGCAAGATACAGCTCCGCTCATGTGCCAGGTAAGTCCACTTCGGGCTCACCATTGTCCGTGCTACTTGGAACGTTTTGTTCCGAGTAGCTGAATCTAAAACAACAATCTTGGGGTGGCTTAATCTTCATCAGTCAATCAATCAGTCACTCACTCTCCTCCTTCACCCTCAGGCTCGGGTTTCAAGATCGCCCCAACCATCGGCCAGGAGCTGTGTCGTCTAGTACTGGAGGAGCCCACTGTCTTTGACCTCTCGGCCTTCTCAGCCTCAAGGTTCTCTACCGGGAGCAAGTAGCAACTTAGACATGCGATGTTGCATCTCCTGAGATGTCAAGCAGGAACTCTCACCTTATTTTATATTCCTCCCTGTAACTGAGAGGTGACAGGAAGAGTGGGAAGCCAGAAGGAGAATGTTAAGGGAAACTGGGAGAGGGAGACTACAGTCGTGACTGTAATTTGTAATTAAGAATGACAGTGTAATGTGGTTAAATTTTTTTATTCCATTCCTTTGGTGGCTTGACAGGTTGTTGTCCTGGTCTTTTGTGTATATACTATACGCACTCAGTAACTAACTCACTAACTAGTAACTAACTCACTAACTAGTAACTAACTCACTAACTAGTAACTAACACGCACCAGCATACTCCTGTAATGTTGTAAAAGCTTCGGGAAATGAGTTAAACAATATAATAATAAACATGAAGATATTTCAGATGATTCTACCACATAATAAACACAAAAGGTTAACATGGGCGCCCGTACGCCTGCCGTGATAGTACCTGCAGCTGCTGTGCACGGAATGTATAACTTATGCACTCTTGTAATCCACGAAAAAGTCCACTTTTGAGCCTACTGGAAATTCTATGACGCAAAACAAGAACCTCCCCTCCTCTCCCTTTCTTTCTTGCTCTCCCTTTCCCCTCCTCTCCCTTTCTTTCTTGCTCTCCCTTCTCCACTCCTTGTCCTTCTCTTCCCACATCCACCTCCTTCTACCCCCTCTCTCTTCCCCCACATCCACCTCCCTCTTCACCCCACATCCACCTCCCTCTTCCCCCTCTCTCTTCCCCCCACATCCACCTCCCTCTTCCCCCTCTCTCTTCCCCCACATCCACCTCCCTCTTCCCCCCACATCCACCTCCCTCTACCCCCTCTCTCTTCCCACTGCCCCCCCCCCACTTTACCATGCTTGTTGCATATGTGAGATTCGTGAAGTTAGCAGATAATGAAGAGCTCTCTCCATTACACCACAGTTGCCAAGAGCTCGCTAGGGCATCTTTAGGGTCTTATTCCGCCCCGTCTTCAGTGCTGAGTTTGAGGGAATATATAACCCGAGCGGCAATCATGGCCGGATCTCGGCTAGGAAATGTATTCAGCTGTTGAGGGAAGACAATGCTACCCCTGGGGGCCACCCTGTCCTCGGACGGGGAGGTGAGGGCACCCTTAGGGGGTGTGGGCGCCCTTAGGGGAGGTATTAACCTGAGGCGCCATATGTTTGTCTGCTTCAGGAAATAGTGGCGTGAGGCGTGTGTCGGGAGCTGCCATACTGTGTAAGACTGATTGCCTCCTCCTCCTCCAGTGTGTGTGTGTGTGTGTGTGTGTGTGTGTGTGTGTGTGTGTGTGTGTGTGTGTGTGTGTGTGTGTGTGTGTGTGTGTGTGTGTGCGTGTGTATGTGTGTGTGTGTGTGTGTGTGTGTGTGTGTGTATGTGTGTGTGTGTGTGTGTGTATACTCGTCTAGTTGTGCTTGCGGGGGTTGAGCTTCGGCTCTTTGGTCCCGCCTCTCAACCGTCAACCAACTGGTATACAGATTCCTGAGCCTACTGGGCTCTATCATTTCTACATTTGAAACTGTGTATGGAGTCAGTCTCCACCACGTCACTGCCTAATTGAATTTCATATGTTAACTACTCTGACACTGAAAAAAACGTCCCTGTAGCCCATTTGGGTACTCAGTCTCCACCTGTGTCCCCTTCTCGCGTACCACCTGTGTTAAACAGTTTATCTTTATCTACCCTATCAGTTCCACTGAGAATTTTGTAGGTAGTGATCATATCTCCCCTAACTCGTGTCTTCCAGTGTCATGAGGTTCAGTTCCAGCAATCTTTCCTCATAGCTCATTTCTCTCAGCTCGGGGACTTAGCCTAGTGGCATACCTCTGAACCTTTTCTAACGTCGCTTTGTGTTTGAATAGATGTGCACAAATTCCACAAGGAATTGTGTGCATATCTCAAGGAGTGTGCACATCTCAAGCACAAATTCTCAAGGAATTTATGGAATTTGTGGAAATTTATCAAATTATTACTCGCCTTCTCGGAGGTTAACTGGGGAAGACTCAAGGTGGTTGACGCGTCTTCCCAAATGGGTTGTTATTATGGTAATGATGGCAGCCCAATTTTCTCGTGAATTACAATTCGTGATGATGAATGGGAATTCTTGCAAAACTTTGGGTGTTGAAGAATGTTGTGACTTTTAGAAGTTTTAATTGATCTGGCAATGCAATATTCCTTGAGGGATCTGATACCTGAGGTTATCCTCGAGGGTTTATCCAACACCTGAAGGTTTATCCAAACGCCTAAGGTTATCCTCGAGGGTTTATCCAACACCACACAGCACCACACAGCACGACGCAGCACCACACAGCACGACGCAGCACCACACAGCACGACGCAGCACCACGCAGCACCACACAGCACCACACAGCACGACGCAGCACCACGCAGCACCACACATCACCACACTGCACCACACAGCACCACACTACACCACACTGCACCACGCAGCACCACACTGCACCACACAGCACCACAAACACAACACAGCACCACACAGCACCACACAGCACCACACAACACCACACTGCACCACGCAGCACCACACATCACCACACTGCACCACACAGCACCACACTACACCACACTGCACCACACAGCACCACACAACACCACACAACACCACACAACACCACACTGCACCACCTCACAACCATCTCTCACCAGCAAACAATGAACCATCATCCTGGCAATGTTCAACACAATGTTTACAAGACTCGAAACAGAAGTAAATATTTACATTACAAAAAAGTGTAATCTACTTTTCTCCGGCAGAGTTATGAAGGGAGGTATTAGCACATCAGCAGCTGGTAATTGACAGACAAACACACCATGAGTGAAGTGAAGCTTATGCCCCAAGCTGTAGCAACAGTAAGCGTTATTTGGTTTCGTGTTTTTGATTGGTGCAATGCGAAGGATTTGTTTGTGTGTGTTTTTGTTTATATATTTCAGTAGGTGGTGAGGAGAATGTTGGGGTACTGTGTTTGTACGGCGGGCGCCTCCCTCTGGTGCCCGTCGCTTACTTCAGGGTGAGGGGCTAGCCTAGCCCGTGAGCCTCGTCGTGTTTCGTCACTTTCTTTCGATTTGCCACTCCTTTAAAAATGTGTTTTGTCTAACCAGAAACGTGCGACCCCATGGGTTGCTTGGGGTCGCTTATCATCTTATATTAACTAATGTATACTTATCCTATAATGTATGCTATATACTTGTATGTATAATGTATACTTGGGTTGCTTATCATCTTATGTTAACATTTTCAATATTTATAGTGCTTTGATTTTAACTAATTCGGCGCGTTTTCAACAGGCAGCTGTCTTTGTCTCGTCGTTGTCTCTACTTAGCTAAAAACACTTTCTAGAGTTTGCAGGACTGAACTTCTGGTCATGGTGCTGTATTTCCAGCTGTCGGTCGTCTAAGGCAATGACTACCGACCCCTTTTGTCTCGTGGCTGCTGTTAAAACTATGGATAGAAGTAGCCTCTACTATTTTATTTCTAGTTTAAACCTTTCTTTACTCAACACTGAAGAAATGTTTCCTCACATCCCTGAGGCTCATCTACTTATCTAGCTACCAATTATATCTTCTTGTTACTGCTGAGGCTATACACGCAGTCTCCTCGGCGTAGTGGTAAGACGCCATGATAAACCTTCCGCGAGCGCTTTGTCCTGGGTTCGTATCCTGGCCGGGGAGGATTTACTGGGCGCAAATCCTTAACTGTAGTTTCTGTTTAACTCAGAGTAAATGTACCCAACAGTAAAATGGGTACTTGGTTGTAAAAACGATTCTTCGCGGGGGGGGAGGCCGTATTCCAGGGAACATAGATTAAGGACTTGCTCGAAACGCTACGCGTACTAGTGGCTGTACAAGAATGTAAGAACACTTGTATAAATAAAAAAAAAAATACATTCTGTCTATTTTATCGATTCCTCTGATTATTTTATATGTTTGGACTGTGTCCAATCCATTTCTCTCTCCTTCTAGTGTTTTTAAGTTTAACTCCTTTAGTAGCCTTAGTAGCTCAATCCCTTCAGTTATGAGGCTAGTAGTGAAACAAACTTCTGCTATTCTCAATTTATGTTCTGCGCTTTTCCGTGATGGTGTGTGCTCTAGCTCTGGTCGCTCCAGTGCCGAGTAGAGTATTAAGACCGAATCGAGTTTAGAGTACTGAAGGCTGTCCTGGTGTTCACCTGTTTACCACATGCTGTTCATATGATTCTATTTACGTGTCTCTATTGATGTGTACCTCCGGAGATAACGTCATTGTTATGTCTATTCCAAAATGTCTGCTTGTTGTCACTTAACAGTTAACTTGACAACTTAACAGTTGTCACTTAACATAAAAATATAAGAAGGAACATGCAGAAAGGTTATTTGCTCAGGTGAAGCAGCTCCTATTTATATCCACTCAAACTCGTTTATTTATGTCTAACCTACGCTCGAAACAGTCCATCGATCACACGTTTATTATGTAACCCAGTAATACGTTCCATAAATAACCCCTTCCCCCTTATTTTTAAACTAGTATTTACCCAGGTCTTTCCAGTCTAAATCTATCTTGTTTACATGTCATTTATATCAGAAAAAACGCAAGAGTTTAAGTTTTGAGCTACGTCATTAACATATACTGTACAAGGAAGAGCATGGGTCCCAGCACACACCCTTGTGGGACTCCTCGCACCACACTATTCTCACGGCTCATCTGCTCTCACACTTTCTTATCAATTTGTTACTGTATGACCCAAATAAGTATTCTAATGGTTACTCTCGCCTGCATCTCACTGGTCAGTAGAGCGACGGTCTCGCTTCATGGATGTCGGCGTTCAATCCCCGACCGTCCAAGACGTTGGGCACCATTCCTCCTCCCTCCCCCAGCGGGAGTTTACGTGTCCTCTCGGGCCATGTGTGATCAGCGGGAGTAATGTGACCAGAGTAGCCTCGCAGGAGTGAAAACGACGATATTTTTCACGATTTGGAGGCTTCACTTTCCGTCTCTTTACGTAAGCTGGGTGTAAGTCCATTATCTTGCGACATTAAAAGTGTTTCACTAAAAGATCCACGTCGGAAAAAAAGGAATCCAATTAGAGTTTTTTTTCGTTTGCGGGATTTGCTTTCGGGCGGGATCCGCTTCACAATTTTTTCCCTTTATTTCCGCGTGATG